AATGAGTGGTTAAAAGTGAGAAAATAAATGGAATAACCTGTTGAATGCAACAATTTCAAAGTATTTTAACCTTAAAATGCATAAAACTGGGTGAATTTTATGCAGAAATTGAAGGAAGATTAACGCCACAAGTGCCTCGAGATGCGCTCAAATAGAGTTAAAATTTCAAAAATTTTCCGGGGGAGGCCCCCCGGACCCCCCGCTGACCTGGGGGGTATTCCATACCCCCCAGACCCCGCGGTGGTGGGGGGCCAGGCCCCCCCCAGCAAAATGGCCTAGCTACGCCTATGGCCTTGTTTGATATCAATTTTCTCTTTCTCTCAGATCCCGGCCCTCCTAATGTAGGACTCAGGTTTTTTTATCGTTTTTTCTTTTCAGTTTTGAGTCGAAACTTCTCGGGTTTCATTAATTGTGTATTTTTAGCCGTTTTTATCCTTGTTTTACCACTGTTATCATTGTCTTGGGGTGCTCTTAAAAATTTGTATCTATGTAGCTTGTACTGATTCGGTGTGTTTTCTTGTGTGTTTCAGCGGTGCGAGCGGACAGGATGCGAGGGGGACGGAACAAATTCGGGCCAATGTACAAACGGGATCGGGCGCGGAAGCTGCAGATGATGCGGCAGCGGCAGATCGCGATGCAGACGCTGATGGGGTCGCAGTACGCGATGCTCGGCGACGGGGCGGTGACGCTGAGCTACCAGCCGGGCTCCTCGTCGCCGTTCGCCAACCTGCACATCAAGCAGGAGATCCAGATCCCCCAGGTGTCGTCGCTCACCTCCTCGCCGGACTCCTCGCCGAGCCCGATCGCGGTGGCCCTCGGGCAGGCCGGCCTCGGCTCGATCGCCGTCTCGGCCTCCGGCAACAGCCAGCAGCCGGCCCTCCAAATAGTCACGTCCAACAACGGATCTTCCCAGTCCTCGCAGGGCTCCAGCTCGGCCTCGGCCCCCGGCTCCGGCTCGAGCCTCGTCAACGAACACAAGCTCTGGGCCTCGGCCAACTCCACCACGCCCTCGCCCTCCTCCAAATCACTCACCTTCGACGCCAGCTCCTCCACCAGTAACCTAAATAGTAAAGTCTCCCCCGTCATCCGGGAGTTCATCCAAGGCATCGACGACCGGGAGTGGCAGAACTCTTTATTCTCCTTGTTACAAAACCAATCGTATAATCAGTGTGAAGTAGATATGTTCGAATTAATGTGCAAAGTATTGGATCAGAACCTATTTTCTCAAGTCGACTGGGCGAGGAACTCCGTCTTCTTCAAGGACCTCAAGGTAAATCACACTTCACTCTCTTTTAGCGTAAGTGTCTTCATTCGGAGGGTCTGGACACTCCACGGGTTCCCGCTTCCTCGAAACTCGGGGATTTAACGACCCTCTGCGGGCTGATAGTTGAAATTTATAGACAGAGCGATAGATAAAGAAGGCGTAAGGAGTATGGAGCGATCCTATTGGTTGAAATGGGTGGTTCTGATAGATTAAGGGGGTAAATGATGAACCGACTAAAGGGCCTCTTGTGGGTTTCTGATAGTTTGTCTATTACCTACCTCCTTTATCCATTGCGACCACCCGCTTCCACCAATAGGATCCCTCCATATCCCTTTTGTGTTCTTTGCCTATAGCTTTGTGTATCAATTATAACAATCATCCCACCGGAAAAGTCAGGGAATTTTCATTTTGTAAGTACCGTGTCGGCCCAGCAACTTCAGCTGGTGCCATTCCAGACAGCACCGACAACTTCTGCTCGCCTTTATCCTTAATTTGAATTTCTGAAAATGGACTTTCCCAAGTTTCTTTGAGAAAGTTGGCTTTCCCCTTAAAACCCTAACAGCACAACTGGTCCATACCCTCCCAATGAAGGCACTCTATCTTTAGCCTATGTTTAGCTTGTGTAATCTTTTTCTATTATGATGGTGCTTGTATACGTTTAAGTCACCAATCAATCGACGAACACGCTTGAATTTCTAGGAGTACTGAGCCAAATCGTTGCCTAATATCTAAGAACGAGGGAGGATATGAGGTCGTTCAAATTTGGTGTGTTCGACAGTTTGTAGGCAAATGTTGAGTGATTGGATAAGAGAACTCTCGTTTCGACATTTTCTCCTCAGCCAGTATTTGTCCAGCAAGTCGAATGTGGATATTTGAACAGGAGCACCATGCGCGTCAAGACGATTAGTCCCTCAAGTTGCGGTACATAACTAGATAGGCACGGGGCACGTTCTTCGAGTGCGCTGAAAATCACATGAAGTTATTTCCTTCCAACTTGCCAAAAAAGGATGAAAGCACAATATATTTTTCAACATTTTGAAACAGTCTCTTCAAACGCCTGAAATTAAGTATTTGCAAAAAGCGTTAATTTGCTGGGCCCACACTATTTCGCGGAGAAGGGAAGGCAAAAAAGTTCAAGAAATTCGTCAAAAATTATCGAGCTCTAATCAATAATCAGGGTGCTCTGAGCATGGGGTAGGCAATTCCCTTCGTTACGACCCCAACTTTGGGCCCCTCAGCATGCATGATCTCTCACCTGTGAAAACTGACAAGAAAGAGTCTGAAATCTCCTGGACGGCTCAAGCCGAGCTCATGATTTGTGTCCCCTCTTAAGCCCAATTCACACTATCAAACTTTTCATTCAACTCTTGGATGCAACTTTGTCGTAATGAAACATTGGATATCGTGATACTGACGCGAGAAAACGACGATTTGATGAAAAATTGAACGAAAACTCAAATGCGACGTCACATTGGAAAAAAACACATTGGATCTAGAGTCCAGACTCTTAAAAATATCGACAAGAAAAAATACTCTCGATTCAATCAGATTTAAGCTTGAATCAAGAACCAAGCCTCTTAATTTGAGCGGATTTCCTTTTGATTTAAGCTTAAACCTGATTGAATCAAGAGTCCTTTTTCTTGTCGATGTTTTCAAGAGTCTGGACTCTAGATCCAATGTATTTTTTTCCAGTGAACTTTTTGTGCAATTATGTCGGATGAAAAGTTCGAAAGTGTGAATTGGGCTTAGTCGAATGGTTGCTTCTTCTCGCTCAGGATGGCCGCCGCCGTCCTGAATGCGCAGTTAATAAGTGGGAAAAGAGAGGATGGCGAGNGGGGGGGGGGGGGGGGGGGGGCTGAGGGCTAGAAGGAACCGAGAGCGAGAGGGCGGCCGTGCGTGTTATTTTAATGGCGGTGAATTTATCATTTGCGGGATGACTCCGAGACTCTGACCCAGTCATAAGATCCTCGCTCGTTGAGGCAGGTAAGTCAACCGCGCTGAGCTCTGCTCCGCTCCTCGGAGGCTCAAATGGGGAGTCAAATCAGATGAATCCTCCTCTGACTCACCTCCTTCACCTGGCACCCACTGCCCACTTTATGTTATTTTTTTCCCCGTGTGTTTTTTTTTTTCTCGCCGAATCGTGGTCCCCCTTCTCTGCGGCGCGGCGATCGAAGTTGGTAATATTTACCAGGAGGTGTGTACTTGGCCGCCACGGCACGGCACAATTCAGTGCCTGGGTCGTATACTGCCGTGTTAAGGAAAAACGCTGTATGAGCCTTCTCGCGTTGCCAAATCTCCCTCGATAAATCTCGAATTTTCGGGAAAATTTGTAAATATTTTTCTCCAAATTTTTCGGAGGGTTTTGCTCATAATTTGATCTGAAATGCCTGAAAATTTCCAGGAAAAATATGAATGAAGTTCTTCAAAAATGAATATTTCCTGGGAGGTAATTTGGTAACAATTGAGGAGAATAGAATTCATAGAATAAGAACCTTCTCCGCTGACCCAGGGACTTCAACGCAGAATAGAACAGTTGGACTACAACGCACGATGCAACTATTTCGACTTCGAAGTAGGTGAAATTGCATATCCACGAAATGAAGGAGGACGTGAACTCTTTTCGACGAACTCGGAGACTTTAACGCCGAATAGGAAAGTTGAATGCGGTTACTAAGGATCTCCGTCAGTGTTTCATCTACTACAACTACCGCAAATGCGTCGAATTCGTCAACTTTTTTACTAAATTTTCTTCAAGATTTTACCACGCTGAAAACGAAAAATTTCAGAAAGTTTACAGAATAGTTTCCTCTCCAAAATATTAATTAGTAGTGAAGAATTTGAGACACCGCAACCAAAGAAGGCTCTTTCTGCACCCAACGCCCCAATTGAACCGATTATTTTCCAGATCACGTAAGTGCCAAAATTGTGAATGCGAGAAAAACAAGATAAACCGTTTTATTCGCTTTGTTAACAATCTTCGAATCCCAAAAAGCGTATGTTCTTTTGGAAGGATATTATCGAACATAACACGATTGATTAGATGGTCCCGAGTTTGATGGTCTCAAACAATGGTTGCCTGGGACTGGTTGTAGGGACGGAGGGGGGACGGGACTAAAGGGCAAGGATTAGCCCTCGTGGGCTATTTGAAGCAGTGAAAAAAAAAAAAAAAAATTATACCACGGAAAACAAAGAAAAAACAACTCTTTCACCACCGAAATAGAGATCTGCGCTTACGTGATTTGGGCAATAATCGGTTCAATTCCTGGTAGCTGGAAACTACGTAAAAGCCAAAGGACTTAGTGCACCCCTGTGATGTCCAATTCCTGGTCGGCGGATCATGCGGTTGGTAAAGAGACCGCTGCGTCCATCTCGGAGGACCTCGCGGCCGGGCAACCGCCCCCCATCAGTATGTCCGCGTCCGCGTGCAGCCAAGTAATTCCGCAAATGTTTTGCATGTTTCAAGTCTCGGTGTCTACCAGTCAGTCGGAGCTTAGTCCACCCCTGCCTCTTCCATCTTCGCTTGTTGCCACGTGACCGAGTAAAGCCGCCGGATGTTCCCGGGATCAATGGATCGTATTCGATGTGGTTCCATGTATCGTACCTCTAACCAGAATTTTAGGATAAGCTAAAAAAGAGAGAATTCCGAACAACCTTATTTTTCAATGCCATAAGGTTTTCATGAGGAGCGAAAATCAACCTCAAGCAGCCGTTCCCACGAATTAGTCGATCGACTTTAGAGGGTATGTTTACGTGTTGAACCAATCGATATCGATACAGTCTCACCTGTGTATCAAATACAATCCATGTCTAACTTCGCGGATTCTTTTTGTGCCCATTTAGGGTTCATCTTATGGCTCCTCAGATCATGGCTCTTCTCCCATTTCCTTCCTCTAAGTGTAGTTCCCAATCGCAAAATACACTCTAACCCCTTACTCATCCCGCATCCTTCGGTCGTTCCTCAAAACAAGGATCTTGTTTCTTTACTTTCCACTTCTCAACACCAGTCTATCAATAGTATCCCAATTTATTATGCAGCCCACCTCGTAGTCATCTTCGTGGTCCCTCGGAATATAGCTCTTTTCTATTTTCCTTCTGCTGATACCAGTCTTCCACTAGGTCCTTATCTAAACTGTAGTTATCTTCGCGCACCTCAAAGGTTACAGCTATTTTTCCTTCTCTCTGAACACCGGTCTTCCAGTAGATCCTTACTTCAAAATGTAGTTCGAATAGTTGCGGATCCCCGGAACAAACCTCTTTTCCTTTTTCCTTCCATGAATCAGCTTCAAGGACAAGGCTATCTTCGCTTTTCCTTCCTCCGCCGGCGCTCTCCCGTTTCCTCGTCGCGGTCTCTTCTTCCGAGCGACTCCACGGAGGGCTCGGAGCGCGGCAACCATGGCGACCATCGGATTGCCCGACGGCCGGGCAACGCGGCGCGGCGCCGAGTTCTTCTGGCGTGTTGCGTAATTCAAACTGAGTTGTACCCGAACAGAACGAAGGCGGAGTTAAAACACTCGGCCGCGGTTGCCAAAGCTCGAGCCCCCCACTTTTCCCTCGCGCCGGACTCGGGCCGTCGCACAGTGGAGAAAAAAACTTCGTGCATGGGACCCGAAGTTGAGGTCGTATGGATCTCTGAAGTTTTCGGACCGCGCATTCGAAAACTCGAGGTCCAGCTGCCGAAGTTCGGGTCAGACATCTGAAGTACTTAGGTACGTACCGAAGGGTTCGGGTCACACATCTGAAGTACTCCGGTACGTACCATGCACTTCAGGTGTCTGACCCGAACTTTGGCAGCTGGACCTCAAGTTTTTGGATGCGTGATCCGAAAACTTCGGAGATCCATACGACCTCAACTTCGGGTCCCATGCACGAAGTTTTTTTCTCCGTGAGTCAGCGAGATAGGTCGGATATGAAATTTTTGACTAGAACTGCGAATTTTGATGTTTATTTCGTCGTATCTTACAATTCAAGGGGTGCCTCTGCTAGAAAATTTCACGAGGCAACCACTT